GCAGGGAAGACAGCGATGCAGCCCCACTTCAAGATCCAGACAGAGCAGTGCGGGCCGCGCTCCCTGTCACGGTGACAGCCTGCTGCACCGCCTGCCTGTGACCAGGCCACACGGGACACCTCGGTTTGGACAAGGCGCCCTCCACAGCGCAGTGCAGCCACTGGGGATGCAACAGGCTTTTTATCACCTACACCCTCTGTTTTTGGACGCAGGCCCTCCTTTTTAGGGACCAAAACATTTTTGTTTTAGTCCTCAGCGTCACATATTAGGGCAGAAAGCCTCTTCCTTGGGCTCCAAAACCTTGTCTGAAAGGAGAAACCGTCCTTTTTAGTGGCTTTTTCTTGTTTACACCCACAATCTTAAGGACCAGGCTGCCATTTTCAAGGAAGAAATCCTTGTTTTTAGGGTCCACACGTTCATTGTAAGTTGACAAGCAGCCTTCTTAGATGCTGAGGCCTTCTTTGAGAGGCCTCACCCCATTCCAATTTCCCAAATCCTCATGCTGGGAGCCAAGGCCTGAATTTTAGGGTCCAAATCCTCCTTTGCAGGTCCAAACACCTAGATGGAGGAAATAAAGCAGCACTTCAAGATCCAGACCCTGAGCTGCAGAGTCCAAAGGCCCAGGATTGCTCCAAAGCCTGACTTGGAGATACAAGACACACCCTCTCCTCCTCCTCACTGCCTCTTGCCTCCTCCCCTCCTGATATTTTAACACGCCATCTAGGAAGGATGCGTTGCATCTTATAATAAAATTGTGGACCCTAAAAATAGGGAATTGCCCCTTGGAAATGGCAGCCTGCTCTGTGGGATTGACGTGTAAGCAAGAACAATCCTGTCAAAAGGAGGGTTTATCCTTTCAATCAAGGCTTTGGAGCCCAAGGAAGAGGCTTTCTGCCTTAATATGTGACTCTGGGGCCTAAAAAGAATGCTTTGGGCCCTAAAAGTGAGAGCCTGGGTCCAAAAACGGAGGGTGTAGGTGATAAAGGCGGCTTTGAATCCCAGCTATAGGCTCTCTTGTCCTGAAAACGTCCTGAAAGCTGGGTGCTTAAGAACAAGGCTGTGGTCTATAAAGAGGAGCCTTGGTGCCATGCCTGTATGCTTCTCAGCTGCAAAGAAAGGGTGAGAAAAAGGGTTTGGATCCGCATAGGTGCTTTTAGCCCTGAAGTGAACGGGTAATAGGGTGAAAATGAGACATTTGGCCCTAATGAGGAAGGCCCCAAGAAGGCGGCTCTGAATTCAAGAGGTGGGTCTCCGGGCCCTTATATTAAGGCTTTGATCACCAAAAATTAGACTCTTGGCCTACAAAGGAGTTGGTAGGCAATCAGGAGGGGAATTAGGATCCCAAAGCAGCCTCTGGGCCCTGAAAATCAGGGTTTGGAGCCTGAGCATGAGACGTCAGCCATGAAGCATGAAGTTTTAGAGCCTAGCATGGGGGTCTCTGGACACTAAAATGGGGCTTTGAACCCAGAAAATGAGCCTTTGTACCCCAACCTGAGGCTTTGAGTCCCAAGGAGAAGGCTCTGGGTGCTAAAAAAGAGGCTTTGGGCTCTCAGGTTGAGCCTTTGGGATGTGACAGTCAGGCCTTGACTCAGCAAATGATGATCCTGGCACTGAAAAGGAGGGTTCGTTCTCTAAAAAGGGCTTTTGAGCCCAAGGAAGAGGCTTTCTGCCCTAATATGTGATGCTGGGGCCTAAAAGTCATGGACAGCGCAGCCTGCTTCCTCTGTCTGGATCCTAAAGTGATGCTTTGCTCCCTCCAGATGGGTGTTTGGACCCAAAGAGGAGGCTTTGGACTCAAATTCAGGCCTCATCTCCTAGCATGAGGATTTGGGAATTTGAAAGGAGGGCTGTTCCTCTCCAATAAGGCCTCACCATCTAAGAAGTCCGCATTGCAGGGAACCAGGTCCGTTGTGTCCGTTGGGACAGGACTTGCATAGAGGCCCTGCTCCCAGTTCCAGAGATGGTCCCTGGGCCCTGATGTGGCAATAATAAGGTTATAATAAAATTGTGACCCTAAAAATAGGGGTTTGTTCCTTGTAAATGGCAGCCTGGTCCTTAAGATTGTGGGTGTAAACAAGAAAAAGCCACTAAAAAGGACGGTTTCTCCTTTCAGACAAGGCTTTGGAGCCCAAGGAAGAGGCTTTCTGCCCTAATATGTGACGCTGAGGACTAAAACAAAAATGTTTTGGTCCCTAAAAAGGAGGGCCTGCGTCCAAAAACGGAGGGTGTAGGTGATAAAAAGCCTGTTGCATCCCCACTGGCTGCACTGCGCTGTGGAGGGTGCCTTGTCCAAACCGAGGTGTCCCGTGTGGCCTGGTCACAGGCAGGCGGTGCAGCAGGCTGTCACTGTGACAGGGAGCGCAGCCCGCCCTGCTCTGTCTGGATCTTGAAGTGATGCTTTGCTCCCTCCCGATGGGTGTTTGGACGCAAAAAGGAGGCTTTGGAACCTAAAATTCAGGCCTCAGGCTCCTAGCATAAGGATTTGGGAATTTGAAAGCAGGGGTGTTCCTCTCAAAGAAAGCCTCGCCATTTAAAAAGGCCGCTTTGCACCTTGCATTGAAAATGTGGACCCTAAAAATTGGGCATGTTGCCCTAAAACGGACAGCCTGGTCCGTAAGAGTGTGGCTGGAAGCAAGGAAAATCTAGCTTTGGATCCAGAAGCAAGTGTCAGGGCCCTGACCCAAAGCACTCGGTCACTTGAAAGGAGCATCCTGTCTCTTAAATGGAAGGTAAAGGCAATCAGAAGAAGAGTTCAGATACCAAGTGGAGGTTGTGGACCCTGAACATAGGGATTTGGGGTGAAATAAGGAAGCATGGGGCCCTAATAATGAGGTTTGAGATGGTTAAAATTTGAGGAGGGGAGGAGGCAAGAGGCAGTGAGGAGGAGGAGAGGGTGTGTCTTGTATCTCCAAGTCAGGCTTTGGAGCTGAAAGCTGGGCCTTTGGACACTGCAGCTCAGGGTCTGGATCCTGAAGTGCTGCTTTGTTTCCTCCATCTAGGTGTTTGGACCTGCAAAGGAGGATTTGGACCCTAAAATTCAGGCCTTGGCTCCTAGCATGAGGATTTGGGAAATTGGAATGGGGTGAGGCCTCTCAAAGAAGGCCTCAGCATCTAAGAAGGCCGCTTGTCAACTTGCAATGAACGTGTGGACCCTAAAAACAAGGATTTCTTCCTTGAAAATGGCAGCCTGGTCCTTAAGATTGTGGGTGTAAACAAGAAAAAGCCACTAAAAAGGACAGTTTCTCCTTTCAAACAAGGCTTTGGAGCCCAAGGAAGAGGCTTTCTGCCTTAATATGTGACGCTGAGGACTAAAACAAAAATGTTTTGGTCCCTAAAAAGGAGGGCCTGCGTCCAAAAACGGAGGGTGTAGGTGATAAAAAGCCTGTTGCATCCCCACTGGCTGCACTGCGCTGTGGAGGGTGCCTTGTCCAAACCGAGGTGTCCCGTGTGGCCTGGTCACAGGCAGGCGGTGCAGCAGGCTGTCACCGTGACAGGGAGCGCGGCCCGCCCTGCTCTGTCTGGATCTTGAAGTGATGCTTTGCTCCCTCGGGATGGGTGTTTGGACCCGAAAAGGAGGCTTTGGGCCCAAAGCCTCAGGCCTTGGCTCTTCGAATGAACATTTTGAATCTAAAAATGAAAGAGGGTTCCTGTCAGCTAAGGTATTGCACCCTATAAAGGCAGCTTTGCAGCCTCAAATGAAACTGTGAGACACCAAAGTAAGGCATTGTGCCCTAAAAATGATGGCGTGGGCTTGAAAACTGAGGAGGTAAGCCATAAAAAGTCCCCTTTGGATCAGCATGGAGTTGCAGGGCCCTGAAAAGCAAGATTTGTTCACTAGAGTGTAGAGCCTGGGGCTCAATTCTGAGGGGTTAGGAGATCAAAAGACGACTTTGGATCCCAAGTGGAGGTGCTGGACCCTGAAAAGAAGGCTGTGGCAGGCAAACAAGGAAACAAGGGGGCCTACTAATGAAGATCCTTTGGATCTTAACCAAGGGGTGGTCCTCAAAGTAGTGAGGCTTTGGACTTTAAAACAGGTTTTGGACCATGCAGCCCAGAGTCTTTGAGGGACCAAAGAAGCCTTTTAGGATCCAACGCCATTTTTCTCTTTCTTTTTTCCTTTTCTTTGTTTCTTTTATTTTTTTTTCTATTTATTTAAGTATTTATTTGATTTTTCAGACCCAAGGCCTCTGGTTCTGTGCTCAGAGCCTCTTCTTTGGGACACAAAGCACTGGTTTTGGTTTCCCCCTGCTGGGGGATACTGTTCTCGGCCGCTGTGATTCAGAAGAGCTGGCCTCTGGAGGGAAGGCACTTGGAGACTCTCTCCCCAGTGCTACAGCGCCTGGCTGTCCTCGTGCAGCCTGGCAGCATCCCAAAAGGACGCTCAGTGCTGGCCAGAGTCAGAGGGAGCAGATCCTTCCTCCGGGCAAATGGTGAAGTGGAGAAAGGCACAGCACTCCAACACGCCCCTGCTGTCCCAACAGGGTGCTGGTTTTCCTCAGGTGGGCAGCACGGCCGCTCTCTCCCTGCCCCTCCTCCAAGAGGCAGGGGGAGAAAATACGACAGACACATGGAGCTGGTGGTTTGAGATACAAAAAGTTTAATTAAAGGGAAAAGGGAGAAGGAGGAAAAAATGAAGGGACGGGCAGGGCAGGGCAGGGCAGGGCAGGGCAGGGCAGGGAAGAAAATGGGGGAGACCGCACGAAAGGCCAGAGAGAGGGCAAAAGAGCGAGGCCCCCAGGCGTGGGGCGTGTGCGCAGAGCTGCGCTCCAGGGAGGGCTGCACAGTGCCCCCGGGGCTGGGGAGGCACAGCCTGCGTGTAGCTGAGGATGCTGCTGGCCAGCTCTGATGGCAACGAGGAGGAGGAGGAGGCCACTTTCCGCGCTGAGGGCGGGTGGCCCAGTGGAGCTGCGGCTGTGCCATCCCTGGCAGTGTCCCAGGCCGAAGCGGGGGTCTTGGAAGCAGGCTCGCTGCTGGAGAGGCGCCGGCTGAAGCCCTGTTGTTCATGGGCTTCGGGAGCTGCTTCGGGCATGCCCCCGGCACGCAGAAGGCCGGAGAAGTGGAGGGAACGTGCCCGGGGAGCGGGGCTGCGCCGCAGGCAGGAGGAGATGCCGGGAGCTTTCCAGCACGCTCAGCTGCCTGCCGGGGAAGAGCGTCGCCTCCTCCATGCCTTCTGCAGCCTGGAGCACAGCTGCCGAAAGCTGAAGCGCGAGCGTGGCCTTGGTGCTTGCAGGATCAGCACCGTCTGAATCGCCAGCGACGAGACCTGACTCGCAGGGGTCGTTTGCCAAGCCTCGCAGGACTGAGAGAACAGAGAAGGAGAGGCGAGGTGACGGCCCTGTACCCGCAGAGCGCCCGGCCCCCCGCAGACGTTGCCCCCAGCTCTCCGCACAGCCAGGAGGGAGCAGGGGACAGGCTCCTGCCATCCCCCTCCCTGGCTCACCTTGGCAGATGTCCTGGCTCTTGCTCTGGTGCTGATCCAGCAGGTGCCTCCCCACGAGCCCTGGGGACACACGGCCTGTCAGCGCCCCCGGCTGCTCCCCGGGGCGCAGCACGAAGGCACAGGGACGGGGGACGCCAGGCTCGCGGCTCACCAGTGAACCTCACAGCCTCCCGCCGCAGGGGCTCCTGCAGGCTCTGCAGGTAGGGCAGGCTCTGGGCCAGGTACTCCTCTGCTGCGCTGCTCCTCCTGGCCAGCTGCAGAGGGAAGGGCGCGGGCTCAGCGCAGGGCGGCCCCGGCCCCGGCCCCGGGTGCAGAACTGTGCGTACCAGGCACTCGCCGATCTTCCAGCTCTGCAGCGTCTCGGCCAGGTGCGCCAGCTGCCTCCAGCGCAGGAAGCGCGCAACACCAAGGAGGGCTTCCCGGGAGGCCTGCAGAACAGCTGAGATGGCAGCAGAGCCTGGGCAGAAGACCCTGCTCCCCCCCCGCAGCCCCTCCTGCAGGGAGGGGGCCTCAGTGAAGCCTAACGCTGCCAGCAGCTGCAGCACCCCTGGTGCTCAGGGGGCCCCCAAGGCAGGGCAGGGCAGGGCAGGGCAGTCAGCATCGCCCTCCCCCGAGGAGCAAAATGCCCACCTCGGCCACGCTCTCGTCCTGGTCGTGCAGGTGGAGGGACAGCGGGAGCAGGCTCCTGTGTGCCACCTGCTGCAGCTTCTCTTGGCTGCCCTCCACAAAGCCCAGCGTGTCGAGGAAGAGGCGAATAGAGAGAAGCCGCACCGTACTTGAGTCCTGGGGAGGGCGAGAGGGGGACATGGGTCCCGCTGGGGGCAAAGTCCCCGAGCCCCCAAAAGCGCTGCAAAACGAGCCTGCCCAAGGGCTCGCAGGCGCCCAGGGCTGGGAAGCGGGCAGGGAGAGCCCCCAGCGGGCTGTCCCAGGGACGCAGCCATGGGGACGCAGCCTTACGTCGCCAAAGAGGGCTGGGAGCTTGCCGGCCAGCTCCAGAGCCGCGAGGCTGAGCGTCCTCCCCTCCAGGAGCCGCAGCATGGTGCTGAGCACGGGCAGAGCGACAGCGCGGGTGTCGCTGTCTGCAGCCTGCAGCTGCTCCGTGATGCTCGGCAGCAGGACGAGCGTTTGCCTCGCCTGTGTGAACAAAACACCTTCCTTTGGGGAAAGCAAGGACTGCCCCCTGGGCGAAAACACTCTCCCAGCCCGCCCAACGCCCCTTGCCCTCCCCGCTGCCTGGCAAGGTGCCGAGCCACAAGAGCCCGGGGCCAGCCCAGCCCAAGCCGCGGCACTCGTGGCGTTGCCGGCTGCCCCCGCTCACCGTGGCCGGCCTCTCGGTGAGCCCCAGGATCGCCCTGAGCACCAGGCTCTGCATGCCCAGGCACGGGCTCCGCAGGTAGCTGGCAAAGAGGCTCGCGACGCAGTCCAGCTCGTCGCCGAGCTCTGTGCACTCCAGCAGCTGAAAAGGACGTGGGGCGCAGTGCCGGCTCAGCAGCAAGAATGCCAGGGCAGGAATGCCAGGGCACGGCCAAGCCTGGCCCCGAGGCAGCAGGGCTTGTGCAGAGCCCCACGTGGGCTCGCTGCTCCTGCTGCCCCTGCTCACCTTGCTGAGGATGACCATGGCCACCGTCTGCCAGGAGGAGGCCTCCGTGCGGAGCAGCTCAACCAGCTGGTGGATGATGGTGGCGCGCAGGCTCCTGGGCAACTCCTTCATTTCCCTGGCAGGGAGAACGGCAAGCAGGCGCCGTCAGCCCCGAGCCGGGCGGGCCCAGCTCTCCTGGCTTTGCAGCGCTCTCTTTTGCCACCAGCCCAGCGGCCACGGGCACCCATGCTGTGGCAGCACTTCCTCCGAGAAGCCCCTGTCACCTCCAGGGCTGGGATGGTGCCGACGAGGGGCTCTCACCTGGCCACCACCTGCACGCCCCAGAGGTGGCTCTCGGCGCTGAGAAGCGCGGCCCAGCCGCCCTGCGCCTCGATGGCCAGCACCGGGCTCCCCAGGCCCACGCTGCGGAGCAGCGCTTTCAGGGCCTGCACCGTGGACCTGCAGGCAGAGAAGGGCCCGGGTCACGCCGGGAGCCCCAGCCCTGGGCTCCTCTGAGCAGCAGGGGCCGGGGATGTGGCACCTGACGGGAGTGAGCAGGTCCTGCCGGTGCTTCTCCCAGAAGACCTGCACCTCCTGCAGCTTCAGCTCCGTGGTGAAGGACACTTGGAAGAGGAGGGCCAGGAAGAGCTGGGGGAAAATGGCCTTCGCCTCCCCCCGGCTGGTAGGCAGCAGGAGGATCTCGTGGAGGGGCCTTGCTGCCTGCAGGAAGCACCCGGAGGCGGAGGCGTGGGCAGGGAGGGACAGAGGAGGACGCAGCCCCCCAGGCTGGTGCCCCAGGGTGCGGAGAAGGCTGGCAGGGGCCAGGGGAGGGGAGCGGGGCCCCTGCCCCTGCCCCTGCCCCTGCCCCTGCCCCTGCCCCTGCCCCTGCCCCTGCCCCTGCCCCTGCCCCTGCCCCTGCCCCGGCCCTGGCCCCTGCCCCTGCCCCTGCCCCTGCCCGACGGAGACGCAGACGGGCAAGCGAGGAACTCACGGCCAGGGCCAGGACGCGCGGGTGGTCCTTGGTGGAGGTGGATGTCTTGCAGCCAGACTGGTTCATGAGGATGCGGAGCAGCTCGCGCAGCACCCTCTCTGTGGCTGGGGGCTCAGACACCATCGCCCTCCACATGGTGACGGCGACGCTGCGGGACCCCCGGGCTGTCAGCAGGGCCGCCCCCGGCCCGGCTGACGGCATTGGGGGTGTGCGAGAGGAGCCCTGCTGGGCCCCGTACCTGGTGCAGGTCAGCGAGCACTGCAGCAGGCTGGCAACCGTCTCCCTGGGGCGCTTGCTGGCCAGCAGCAGCAGGGCCCTGTCCAGGCTCTGAAGGGCCAGCGCGGCTCTGACGGACGGCAGGCTTCTGTAGATGGCCCACACGATGTGGAGCACCTGCCGGTGGGACACGGCTGAGACTGGGCCGGCACCAGGGCAGGAACAGAGCCCCGAGGAGCTCTGGAGGCTGGAGCCGTGGCCGTGGCCGGGGGTGCTGGCGGGCACCCACCTGTCCCGAATGGAAGTCGGTCTCTGCCGCCAGCACGTCCACCATGTGGGCAGCCAGCTCGGTGCTGTGGGGACTCGGGGCTCTCATGCTCTGCACTGGCGGCGAGGAAGACGCCCAGGCGTTCCGAGGGCTGCAGGTACTTCATGAAGATCTGTGGGAGGAAGGGCAGCACGTCAGCCACCGCGAGGGCTGCGACGGCCCCGCTCAGCCCTGCTGCTCCCAGCGCCCCAGGAGAGCTGGGAGCAGGGGCTGGGCGACGGCTGGGGTGCGGCCGCGTGCGGGCCCCGTGGGGACCGGGCTTTGTCGGGGACAGCGCCGGTCCTCTTGCTGCCGTCGCAGGGCCGGGCTCTCCTCCGGGGCTCAGGGCTCAGGGCTCAGGGCTCGGGGCTGGCGCTTCTCACCATGAACATCCTGTTGCTGTTGCTGTCTTCGGAGAGCCGCAAGGACAGGCGAGCTCGCCGGCTCTGCCAGCCCTGCGGCTGCTCGGCATCCTGGTCGCACAGCCTTGTGCCTGGAGAAAAGCGGACACAGTGTCTGTCGGCGGGGGGGCCTGGGGACCTGGCAGTGGCAGCCGGGGGCTCGGGCACAAGCCTCCCTGGCAGGAAGGGGGCATGCCAGAGCAGAGCCGGGGGCAGCGCGGCCAGGGAGGGCCCGGGCTCTCGCGCTCAGGGCAGGGGGAAGGGCTCGTCAGCCCGCGGCAAGGCAGCCGGGCTCACTCGCTCGCTCGCTCGGGTCTCTCCTGCTGAGGAGAGGGGCCCAGGCGGCCTGGTGCTGGCCTGGCTGTGCCCGTGTCTGGAGGGACCCGGCCCGACGCGGCTCCGCTCACTTCTTTGCTGTGTGACGAAGAGGCAGAGGTGGCGCACAGCCTTGGCTGCCTCATGGCTTTTTCCCTCGCTCTCGCAGGTGCAGCACAGGAGGAGGTACCCCACCAGCCTCCCCAGCAAGGCGAAGCGGTGCTTCTCGGGGTGATGATGCCTCAGCACTGTGGCTCCTGCAAAGCAGGAGCTGACCTGGGGAGAGAGGCAGCGCGGGAGCACGGCTGAGCGGAGCGGCAGGACCCCAGCCCCAGCCCCGGCTCTGCGCAAGCCTGGAGCTGGGGAGAGCCGCGGCCGGGGAGCGAGGCCAGGGGGTGCCAGGGCTGCCTGCAGCAGGGTCTCCCTACCTGGGGCAAGGAGCAGGTGTTGAGGAAGGCGGCCAGCCCGGCGATCCGCGCCATGGCCCTCTCCTCCACGGCCTCCGGCTGCTGCTGGGTGAAGGGCAGCAGGAGCTGGGGGGAGAAAAGCTGCTGGGGCGGCGTGGAGAGCGGCGCTGGCGGCGGCCGCCTGCGCTCCGCTCCTGGGGGCGCCTCGCCGGGCTGCGGCCCGCCCGGAGCCAGCAGGCGCCCGGCCGGCTGGAGAGGGGCCGCCACCGCCACCGTCCTGCTCGGGGGAGGCTCCGTGGTGGCGTGTTACGGCGGCTGGCGGGGGCGGCCGGGGGCGGGCGCCTTCCTCACCGTCCTGGCTCAGTTACTATATCTTCAACTGCAGAAAAAGTTGTGTACCTTGTGGTTTTTCATCTGTCATTTGTCATGTTTGTATGGTCGTATTGGAAGACAATTTTCACATCTCCTGCATCCCCTTCCAATGAGTTCTGCTTGTCAAAAGCTGATAAAGAACAATATGAAAAGGAAGAGAGACCAGAATTCCAGCAGGAGATTTTGAGAAGAGCTGCTAACGACTTGCCTATCTATACGACAACAGAATCAAGAGCCATCAGATACTGTGATCGATGCCAGCTAATCAAACCTGACCGCTGCCACCACTGTTCTGCGTGTGACATATGTGTACTAAAAATGGACCACCACTGTCTGTGGGTGAATAATTGTGTGGGGTTTTCGAACTACAAATTCTTCCTCCTGTTTTTAATGTATTCCGTACTGTCCTGTCTGTTTGTTGCTGCTACAGTCTTGCAGTACTTCATAAAGTGCTGGACAAAAGAATTGACAGATGCCTATGCAAAATACCACATACTATGCCTTTTCTTTGTGGCAGCCATAGCCTTCATCGGCATACAGTGGCTCTTCAGCCGCCACTGCTGGCTAGTTGGCAAAAACAGATCAACAATAGAATCATTCCGTGCACCCATGTTTCGAAATGGACCTGATGAAAACGGCTTTTCGCTTGGATATGGCAAAAATCTAAGGGAGGTTTTTGGAGATGAAAAGAAGTATTGGCTGCTCCCTATTTTTACCAGTTTGGGCGATGGGTGTAGTTTTCCAACTCGTTTGGTGATTATGGATCCAGAGAAAGTAACTGTCTCAACCCAAACTGAACCTGCCAAAAGCTCTGGAGCCAGTCAGCCCTTTCATCCTCGACCACTCAGTGCTGGTGTGCCCGCAGCACGGGGCACTGCTCCTTGCCGTCGTCCCCCCGCTGCGCTGGCCAGGCGGGTGGCCGTGTCCCCGTCCTGCTGAAGCCCAGCCTTTGCCCAGCCCCACCTTCAAGATGTTCTGCAGCTCCAGGAGGCCGCAGGCGCCAGCGCTGCTCACCAGCGCCTGCAGCAGGCTGTCCAGGGCTTCCACGGTCTGCAAAGAGGAGGACAGGGCTCGTGGCGCCCGAACACGGAGCAGTGGCATCCCCAGAGCCCAGCCCGTGCATACCCTGACGTAGAGAGACGTGTCCATGTCTGTCCCGTCCTCGTGGCCAGGGAGGTGGAAGACCCCGCGGAAGCAGGCGCGCAGGAGGCCGCTGGTCATGGCCTGTGGCAGCAGCCGCGCTGTGCTGCAAGGGGAGGGGGGCAGAGGTGTGGAACGCCCCCTGTGCGGCACTGTCGTGGTTTAACCCGGCCGGCAGCTAAACACCACGCAGCCGTGTGCTAATTCTGTGCTAACTGAAACCAGGACAGGCACCCTGTGCCCCACTCGGGGTCCCTGGCCGGGAGTGGCGGCCAAGCCCGCGCTGGCCCAGGTACCTCATGGCGGCGATGGCGAGCATGGCTTTCTGCCGCACCTCCGTGTCCAGGCGATCGCTGGGCTCCTCCTGCAGCAGCGCCTGCAGGGCACAGCGCGATGGATGGCACAGGGCAGCGTCCCCTGGCCAACGAGCGGCTCCAGGGGCTGGCCTACAGCCTACAGGATGGCTGCCCCGTCCCAGACGGCTCCCGGTGCCCAGCACCCTGGCCAGAGGGTGCTCCCCGCGGGGCAGGGCGTCCCCTCACCTCGATGCTCTGCGCCACCTCCAGCTGGCAGAAATACACCGCTGTCCCATGTGCGGGGTCCGCGACGGCGGCTTGGCAGGCAGTCGCAGACGGAGGCCAGAAACCTCAGCTTCTGCACCTCTCGCTGAGCCGCGGAGGGGAGAGACGAGCGAGCGGGTCAGGGGATCCCAGCAGGGGCTGCCCGCAGGAGGCCAGCAGCCGCGGCACAAAAGCGAGCGGTACCTTGGGTCTGCGGCTGCAGCAAGCGCGGAGGAAGCTCAGGGCGTCCTCTTCCTCCTGATGCGCCACGGCCGAGGCAGAAGGGCCCACGCCTGAGCCAGAGGGCGCCTGCAGTGGCTGCACCTCAGTCTCCTCATAGGGCTGCGGCTGGGGCCTGGAGGCCGGGGAGGCCCCAGCCTCCTCCAGCCAGGCCGCTCGCGGGGAGCAGGGGGGTCTCCCTGACATCCTGCCGGGAGCGCTCAGGAGGGAATGTGGCTCCTGCTCCTGTGGCGGGGGAGGGATGCCACAAAGTGCCACCGCTGCCACCGGCCCCAGGCCCCCGCGGGTGGCCCCAGAGCCCCGCGGGGGTCCTGTCCCCAGGGGCCTGCAGACGCCAGCCCCTGTCCTGGAGGGAGGTCCCCCTGCCCGGGGCTGCCCCCAGCCCCACTGCCGAACCAGGCCCCTTGGGGCCGGCCCCGCTGCGCAGCCCTGGCAGCGCTGCCCCACCTGCTCCTCAGCCCTGGCTCCTGCGCTGGCTTTCTGGGGCAAGGTGCCCAGCGCTTTGTGCCTTTGCTTCGCACCTGGAGCACCTGGGAGCACTCCAAGCCGTCGCTGCTGCACGGAACCAGGTCCGTTGTGGCTGTTGGGACGGGACCCGCCCCAGAGGCCCTGCTGCCGGTTCCGGAGACGCTGCCTGGGCCCTGCAGTGGGCAGACTAAATTAGAATAACATCGTGGACCCTAAACACGGGGAACTGTTCCTTGGAAGTGGCCGCCTGGTCCACGACATTGACGTGGAAGCAAGAAAAAGCCACTAAAAAGGAGGGGTTATCCTTGCAAACAAGGCTTTGGAGCCCCAGGAAGAGGCTTTCTGCCCTAAGATGTGATGCTGAGGTCTGAAAATGTTGGGCAGCGCAGTGCGGCCCTCACTCCTCTGTCTGGATCCTAAAGTGATGCTTTGCTCCCTCTAGATGGGGGCTTGGACATGAAAAGGATGCTTTGGGCCCAAAACCTCAGGCTCTGGCTCTTAGAATCATTATTTTGAAACTAAAAATGAAAGGGGTTTCCTGTCAGATAAGGTATTGCACCCTAAAAAGGCAGCTTTGCAGCTTAAAATGAAACTTTTTGAAACTGTCCCCTGGTGTGGGCTTACGCAGCAAGGAGCTTGCAGTTTGTGCTTGTAGTTCTCACTGTGCTGTTCTCCCATGGCCACAAATCCACCAAGCCCTGTCTCCTGCCAGGACCACCCAGAACACCAGACACGGTGGCTGAGAGCACTGTCCAAACACTGTGAGCTCCGACAGGGTCGGTGCTGTGTCCACTTTCCTAGGCAGCCTGTCCCAGGGCCCGACCACCTCTGGGAGCAGAACCTTTCCCCAACACCAGCCTGGCCCTCCCCTGTCCCAGCTCCATGCCGTCCCCCTCAGGTCCTGTCGCTGTCCCCAGAGAGCAGAGCTCAGCGCCTGCCCCTCCGCTCCCCTCGTGAGGGAGCTGCAGGCCGCCATGAGGCCTCCCCTCAGCCTTGCCTTGGTTATATGCACAAAAGTTACATATGCATGAAGCTGCCCAATACGCCTATACATATGCTTAATCTGTCCCCGCTTTGTATTAAAATTAGCTCCAAGAAGTCATTTCCATGAAGTCCTCCCATCCGTGCCTGCACAGTGCCTTCTGGTGGTGGTGGTCGGGGGGCCGGGGGATGAAGGCTGGTAACTCCTCTTCATCGCCACCAGCCGACCCCTGCCTTCATACAGACTCAGCTGCTCCTCAGCTCTTGCCCAAACCACAGGGTCGGGCTCAGCTGGTTTTTGAGACAGGTTCCCTTATTTTTGCCAGGAAACATCCTCAGTGAGGGGCCCCAGGACTCCTCGTTTCGGTGAATCAGCACAGCAAGCAAAGACACTCGGCAACATCTATTTTTACTGCCATTCAGCGAGCCCCCGTTCTCCCATCCCCGGCTTAGTAAAGCTTAGTAATGCCCCACACGCAGCCCCTCGGCAGGGCTCAGCCCTGAGGCGGCCCCGCCGCCATTTCCCCGCGCGGTGCCACCGCCCCCAGGCGGGCGGAGCGGGGCGGAGCGGGGCGCACGTGTGGCAGCGGCATGGCGGCGGCGGGCAGGAAGGGGCAGGGGGCTGCGGCGGGGCGGCGGCGGCGGCCGCGGGTGAGCGCGATCCTAATCCTAATCCCCATCCCCATCCCAATCCCGTTCCTAATCCCGATCCGGGTCCCGGTCGCCGCTGACGGTGCCGTTGCATCCCGCAGGGAGCAGGCAGCGGGGGGAAGCCGCGCCCGGCGCCCGCCCGTCCCCGCGATGAGGAGGTGTCCAGCGACTCTGAGGCGGAGAGGTGAGGGACCGGGGGGCTCCCTCAGGGCTCCGGGGGGCTCCCAGGGGCTGCCGGTGCGGCCGGGCCGGTGTTAACGCGTGTCCCGCAGCCTGGCGGAGGGGCAGCAGCAGCAGCAGCAGCAGCAGCAGCAGCGGAGGCGGCGGAGGGAGGAGGAGGAAGAGGAGGAGGAGGAGGAGGTGGAGGAGACGCCTCAGGAGAAGAAGCTGCGCCTGGCCAAGCTGTACCTGGAGCAGCTCCGGCAGCACGGTGAGAGCGGGCGGTGGGGCTGGGGGGCAGCAAGGAGGGGGGGGAACAGCCTGGACTGACGCTGAGCACCCGGTGCAGAGGAGGAGCAGGCGGAGGAGGAGGAAGAGGAGAATGCAGCCTTCCTCAGGGACCCCGTCGGCGAGCGGCTAAAGGAGGATGTGGTGAGCTTGGGGGGCACCGGCCCTGGCTCCTGGGTCATCCCTGAGGGGTGAGGGGGTGGCCAGGGAGCGGTCCCTGAGCCCCCTGTGGTCCCCCCCTAGCTCGAGCAGAAGGGCCGGCTGCAGCGCCTGGTTGCCAAAGAGGTGAGCGTGCCATGGGGGGCAGCGGGGGCAGTGGGTGTCCCCGAGCCTCAGCCGGGGCTGCTGCTGGCCTCGCTCACGGCCATGCTCCCACCAGGTGCAGCCTCCAGACCCGCTGAGCATCCGAGTGTTGCGGGGACACCAGCAGCCCATCACCTGCCTGGTCATCTCTCCAGATGACAAGTTCATCTTTTCGGCTGCCAAGGATGGCTCCATCATCAAATGCAAGTGGTTCTGCTTGTCCTCGGGGGCTGCAGCTGGCTGGCACCCTGCAGCAGCAGGGCAGTGGGTAGAGGTGGCTCGGCTCTGCCCTGCCTGGAGGCACCTTCCCTGGAGGGCAGGGAACTCTGCAAAGCACAAGGCTGCTGGTTTGGGGGTTCAGCTGCAGAGCTGGTTGTGTTGCTCTGGGCTTTTTGTGTCTTGTTCCCGCTCCTGGGGGTGATGGATGGCACTGCCTGTCCCCACAGGGGAGGTGGAGAGCGGGAAGAGGCTATACGTGATGCCCGGGGGGAAGAAAGGCACAGGACAGCACATGGGGCACACGGCCCAAGTCCTCTGCATGGCCATCTCGTCGGACGGCAAGTACCTGGTACAGTGATGGGAGGGTGCTGCTGCCACGTGGGGCCACATGCCATCCACAGGGCTGCTTGGCCCTGGCCCTGTGTGCTCCTGAGCCTCTGGGTTGGGGGACATCCCTTCTCAGGGTCCTGGAGGGCAGTTCCTTCTACTGAGCTGAAGGTTGCAGGGTTGAATCAGCCTTTATCCCCACTGGTACCAAAGAGCAGGTCCCTGGGCCCACCCGAGTACATGGGGTGGGAGCTGTGGGTATGGTCGGGCAGGTTTTTGGGCATCCCTTGCTTTCTGCCAGGTTACAGGAGACAGGAACAAGCTGATCCTGGTCTGGGAGGCAGCCACCTGCAAGCGCCTTCACACGTTCACGGGCCATCGCGATGCCGTGTCGGTGAGTGGGGCTGTCGGCTGCTGTAGGACAGGGAGGAAGGCTCCTGCCACTGGGCAGGCAGGGGGTGCTGCTTCCTCATGCTGAGCCTGGGGATGTGGGGGCCTGGAACCCATGGGGTGTCCCCTGCAAGGCACAGCCAGTTCTGCCGGCACCCCTGGGGACAGCTGGGCAGGTTATAGGTACCCAACAGTGTGTCTGTGTGTCCTGTCTGTCCCTCCGCAGGGTCTGTCCTTCCAGAAGGGCACGCACCAGCTGTACAGCGCCTCCCATGACCGCTCCGTCAAGGTCTGGAACGTGGCGGAGAATGCTTACGTGGAGACCCTGTAAGGCCCCTCTGGGACAAGGATGTCACCCTGTTGTCCCCAAGTGAGGGAGGAAGGGTAAGGGTGGGGTGTAGGGCTGTGCTCCCTACAACTCACCGTGTTCCCCACCAGCTTTGGGCACCAGGACGTCATCACGGGGCTGGACAGCCTGAGCCGGGAGTGCTGTGTGACCTCGGGGGGACGGGATGGCACTGTGAGGGTCTGGAAGATCCCAGAGGAGTCGCAGCTCATCTTCTACGGGCATCAGTAGGTCTGGGGTAGGGGCCGGAGGGCTTGTGCTGGTGGATCCAGCAACTCCTCTGTGTGTGCTCAGCATCACTGGGAGCCTGCAGGTGGTTGGGGACATCGCTGGGCTGTGTGTGCCTGGGTCTGTTTCATAAAACCTTAAAGTGTGCTCATGATCACTGGTTTGTTTTTGTTTTTTTTTTAAATTGTAGGGGCTCTATTGACTGCATCCAGCTCATCAATGAGGAGCACATGGTGTCGGGCGCCGATGATGGGTGAATACAGGGCTGGGAGCGTGTGCAGGGGCGGGCAGGGCTGTGCCCCCACATGCCTCACTCCTGCTCCCCACAGCTCTGTTGCCCTGTGGGGGCTGACAAAGAAGAAGCCGCTGGCGCTGGTGAGGCAGTCGCATGGGACACAGGGCGAAAACGACCTGCAGCAGCCCTACTGGGTGTCAGCGGTGGCTGCTCTTCGCAACAGTGACCTTGTGGCTACAGGTACTGGGAGCCCTGGGCTTGCTTCAGGAGGGATGCGGGGCTGGGGGGGGGTCCCTGCACCCTTCCTGGTGCCGGGATGCACGCATTTCATCTCTGTTGCAGGTTCCCACAGTGGCAGTGTGAAGCTGTGGAAGTGCGGCGAGGGATTTCGGAAGCTGGAGCCTCTCTGTGACATCCCCCTGGTATGGGGGGGCGAAGTCCCCCAGTGGTGGGAGGCGTGGGATGACTGCGGTGCCGTGGTGCTGATGCCTGTGCTGTTATCTCTAGGTTGGCTTCATCAACAGCCTGAAGTTTTCAGCAACGGGAGACTTCCTGGTGGCTGGCGTTGGGCAGGAGCACCGGTACTGTCACCAAGCCCCATTTTCCAGACCTTGGACCCTGCCCTCCCCCTCCCAGCCCCCCAGCTGGAGCAGGAGAGGTGCGGGGTGCTGATACCTGTGTCATCTGCAGGCTGGGCCGGTGGTGGAGAGCCAAAGAAGCCAAGAACAGCATCTGCATCATCCCCCTGAAGCGTGGGGCTGCAGCTCCCAGCTCTGGGGCAGCCGACAGGGCCTGGCCCGGGGAGCTGCAGGAACTTGCTCATTAAATTTTTGTTGATGGTGCTGCTCGTTAAAGCCTTTGTTTGTAGTGCTGCTCCCTGGGGTGGTTGGGCTGCTGGGGATGCACTGGGAGCCCCCAGGGCTGTGCCCTGCCTCTGGCTGGTGCAGGTGCCCCCCCCCCGTGCCCCTCTGCCTGGCACAGCCAGACCTGGGTGCTGTAAGAGTGCATTTAAAACAAACAACAAAACCCCACTTTATTTACATAAATTACCAAAATAAATAAATAAATAAATAAAAGCACAATCTCGGTCACAGAAAAGAATCTACTCTTAAAAAGGGGTTGGACTCGAGTACCGGGGCCCCCTTCACCACCCTCGGTCTGAGCCCCACCCCACTTGCTCCTGGGCTCTGCAGCAGCCCCAAGGCATGAAGCGGACATCTGGGGGTGCTCCTGTCCTCTGCTGTGGGGCTCCAGCCCCTGCCTGCAACAGGAGCGTGGAGGGGGGGCTCTGGCTCTGCTTGGCTGGGTAACCCAGGGCAGGTGCCAGCAGCCAGATCCCTGCAAACCCCGGGGTGAAAACAAGGAGGAAACGTAAAATTGTGCCAAGGGCGCAGCCCCCTCTGCTCGGGGTGGGTTCTGCGTGGCGAGGGGCATGGCTCGGCGTGAGGGGAACGTGAAAGGGGGGAGTGCAAAGGGGAAGGCAGGGTGTGCGAGGGCAGCGTGCTCTGGGATGTGGCTGTGTGTGGAGGAAGCGTTCGGTGCGGCACAGCTGGAGGCAGACAAAGCGTGACTTGCAGCAGGGCTCGGCGCAGGGGATGGGCGTGAGGGACAAGCACCGCGCAGCGTGGCCTCGTGCTGGGGCAGGGGCTTTGCTCTCCTGGCTGCCACCAGCCCTCAGCACCGGGGCTGCTGCTGCTGCTGCTCCCCCAGGACGAGGTGCAGACGGATGGGGGCTCGTCTTCCCCCCGCCTTCACAAGGACGATGTCGTGGAGTCCACCGCCTCGCGGCCGTTGCACACCGTGGGCACGTACTGCGAGGCCGAGCCTGGCCAGGAAGGCAGGGGTCAGGTGCGTGGTGGGATCCAGAGGTGGTACCCGCCCAAGAGCATCCCAGCGTGGCAATGATGGGCGCCTGGGAGCTGCCCCCCACCCACCCCGGGGTGCCCGTGTTCCCATGGGATGGTGCTGGGCCCCCCCAGGGGGGCAGCTCTGGGGCTCACAGCCACTTGCGGTGAGGGAGAGGAGGGCTGGTGACGGGGCAGGCGATCCGTGGGCACTGCAGCACCCCTACCTCCCCCAGCCCAGGTTCCCCGGAGTGCCCCCCTGTGCCCCCCTGTGCCCCCCGTGCTCACCGTGGGACTGGCTGGAGCCCGCAGCCACGACGCTGAACCGTGCGGTGCCCACACGGTGGCTGGCCACGTTCTTCTGCGGCTGGAAGAGGATGATGTGGAGCTTGGGCGTGAAGAGGCAGCCGAGGACCACGGTGCCGCTGAGGCTCACCGAGATGCACATGGTTGTGGTCTGCACCTGGAGGCGGTAGCGGAGGGGTGGGCATCAGGGGTGCAGCAGCGCCCTGCTGAGGGGCTCCTGCCCCCGTGGGGACGCGCCACCCTGCAAAGCGAGTCGCTTCGGGCACCCCTCACCTCAGCACCCACTCCCCCAGGGCTGCTGACCCTCTCCAGAAGACCCTGCATGCGGCCAACCTCGCTGCGACCTCTGGGCCCAGGAAGCAGCACGCACGGGGGGCCCTCATCAGCCCTTCTCCAGACTCTCCCAGCCCTGTGAGGCCCAAATCACGAGGACTGCTCCAGATGGGCCCTGCTGGAGCCCCCCCAAAACTCAGGCTCTTACTCGATAATCACTAGAGGTCACGTAAAAGATGGGCAGGAAGGCCAGCCAGATGATGCAGGTCGTGTACATGGTGAACCCGATGAACTTGGCCTCATTGAAGTTTTCGGGGCATTTCCTGGTCTTGAAAGCATAGACCGTGCACAGAACAATCAGGAGAACGTTGTAGGTGAGCGAAATGAGCATGTTAGAGTCACGGTTGTTGCACTTGAGGGTGACAATGTACCTCTTGTCGGGCTCGGTCTCCTTGCCTGTGCCGGGTGTCTCCACCAGCAGCCAGATGATGACAATGATCAGCTGGCAGGAGATGAGGGCCATGCAGATGACCACCTGCGACGTAGGGCTTATGAACCGGGGGCGCTGGACCCCTTCCTTCACCCCGCTGAAGATCCTGGCGATGCGATTCGTCTTGGTCAAGAGGGCCGAATAACAGACGGCAAAGGACGTGCCCAGCCCCAGGCGCCGCAGCGTGCACACCTCGGTGGAGGGCTTGGCGATGAAGATGAAAGTCATGCTGTAGCACATGAGGACGCCGGTCAGCAGGATATAGCAAAGTTCCCGGCCAGAGGCCTTCACGATAGGGGTGTCGTTGTTCTTTATGAAGACTCCGAAAACGAACAGCGTGGAGATAAAACCCAAGCAAGAGATGGTGACGGGACCGATGGCCCAGACGTCTCGCCAGCGGATGTACTCTTGGGGCAACTCATAGCAGCCGTTCAGGGTCTCGTTGGGCCAGTAACCCAGACCACAGTCCATGCAGGTGAACTCATCCAGCAGGTACTCGTAGGGCTGGCAGGGGATGCAGATCCAGCAGCAAATGTCCCCGGGCTGCATGCTCTTTATCTCGTTCTTCTTGCAGGGGTCGCTGCACTGGGACACGGGGACGGCTGTCTCCGCCCAGGGGATGAGGCTGGTGTTGAGGATGAGCCCCTCTGCCCAGTAGCCCACCTTCTGGTACCGATACCGCCCGTCTCTGTGGTGGTAGTTGAAGATGTTGTAGCGGCCGATCCCGTCGCCGTAGCGGTCGAATCGAACAACGCTCTCAGTGTCTGTTGGCCTGAACGGAGCTGGGAGGAGAAAGGAGATGGTCACTGCTCGGAGACCACTGCTTGGTCACTCCCTGGGGCAGGAGCACCCTCAATCCCGGCACGTGGGTAGGGGTGTATTGAAGAGAGACAGCCCAACCACAGCCAAGAGCCAATTTCCAACCTGCCCCATGCCTTCATGCCCGTAATGCAGCTGTAACTGCTGCCTGTGCACATTTTGGGATCCTGAAAGCAGTGGTGGAGAACGATCTCCCTGCACTTGGCAGCCTCTGGCCAGTGCTACAGGGCAAAGCGAGGGTAGGGGCAGGGAGGGGAGAGCACAGAGCTCAACTGAGGTCTCCAAGGCCACGTGTACCTGATGGGCCCTGCTGTGGCTGGTCCCACACAGCCCCAGCAGAACGGAGTTGGTTGCCAGCTCTGCAGCACATGGGGACAGAAGGCCTGGGTTGCCTACAAAGGGCAGCGGTGGAGCTGGTAGCATCCTGGGCAACCACAGCCCACGGCACGGGGGCTCCCAGGTGCAGGCAGGCCACAGAAATTGGAGGGGTGGAGGTTTAGATTTGTGAAGGCTCGCTCTTCCCTGCCCCTCCACCTCTCCAGCTGAGCAACCAAGCCCCGTCTCCACCTCTGGACTCACCATCAAAGTTAACGTTGAGCATAAAGTCCTTGTAGAACCTCTTGCCATTGACGGGCTTCATGGAGTCGCAGAGCTTGGTGGTGTTGGGGCACAGCGCCCGGTGCATGTTGTGAAGCGAGTGAGCCATGGCGTAGACCGCGTTGACCACAAAGGTGATCTTGGACTCCGGCTCAAACTTGCCCGTCTTCAGGGAGTGCCGGCTACAGTCCGGAGTGTGGAAGCTGCACTTGAACTTTTGCTCCCAAAACTCCCGAAACCAGGGATTTCGGCTGTTGTTGTAGGGGTGGAGGTTGAGGAAGTAGGTAGCAAACTCCTGGATGGGGTACGCTGCCAGCTCGATGGTGATCGCCCCCTCCGCCACCGCTTCGCTCCCTGCCACCACGCTCTCCAGGGCTCCCCACCCGTCGCTGGCCACCCACATGAAGGAGACGTTGGCTCTGTGGGCAGCTGCCAGCAGCTCCCGGGCGTCCTCGCTCCGGGTGAAGAGCACAACCACCCTGGCATTGGGCTTCTGCAGCAGTGCCCGGACAACACCATCATAGGTCTTCTTGTTCATGGAGCGTCCCACCTTCTCCGAGGTGGCGATGCAGATGTTGCGCATGCGAGCCTCTTGCTCGAAGGCCTCAATGCCCGTCTCACCGTAGTCACCCTCCGAGGCCACGGTGGAGACGTAGGTCCAGTTGAAAAAGCGCAGGATCTCCGACATGGCTTTGGCTTGGTAGAAGTCGGGTGGAACGGTGCGGGCAAAGTAGTCGTAGCGGGACTTGTCGCTCAGCTTGGCGCTGGTGGAGGCGTAGCTGATCTGCGGGATCTGGAAGAGCCGCAGCAGGTTGGCGACCTGCATGGAGGGGAGAAGGGAGCGAGGAAAGTGGGGACGTGGTCCCACAAAGGACAGCCCCTGGGAGCCCACAGCTCCTAGAGAAAGCAAGTGGTTGATGGGGAAGGAGGCAATCAGCTGGCAGCAGACGTGCCCATCCCATGGGTCACCCAGACCCCCAGCCTGGCACTGGAGCGCAGGGAAGCGTGGCCATCCCAGGGCTGGGGCGTAATGCACACCTTCTCCTCCGCTATTCCCTGGACAGCAACTTGTGCCCACTGCTCAGCACAGCCTGGCCCTGCTGAGGGCAGGATGGAGAAGGTGGCAGGGAGGTCCCAGGCATGGCCGGGGTCTCCATGGGCTGTGGGGTGGCTGAGCCGAGCTGTGGCCAGCTCTTGGCGCCTGGCACAGGGACCTGGGGTCGTTTTCTTGCAGAGGTTTCTCCCTCGGCGATCCCTGTGTGTTCCTACCGCTCGCAGCCTCTGCTCACTTATTATTTTTTTTTATTATTATTATTTTAATATTTCATGCGCTCCCCTCTGAGATTCAGGGCAGGGAGTACAATGGATTCATGGCAAAAGCAGAAACTCCACCGCGGGCGACCTGAGCGCTGCTCGTCCGCCAGGACAAAGTTGGTGCCTGCAGCACGAGGACGGCATCCACAGGGGAGGGGGCTGGGGGGCTGGGAGGGGGGACAGAGGGGCTGCCATCGCCCCCGAGCCCCAA